GTCTCTGCACTGGGAAAGTCTCCTGGGGGAGCAGCGGGAATGTTACTCCACCTCTCTCAGGTGCAGCCGGGCCTCTGGGATCCCCAGCAGCAGCCCCCCAAAGCTCGGGGATCTTGCAATAGGGACAGTGCCGGGAACCTGAAATTCATTCACACAGCCAGTGCAATTCACTTCCTGCTGCCAGGGCTGCATGACCCCAGCCATGGCTCCATCCCCAGCTCCTCCTGGGTCCTAGCGATAAACCCACCGCCTTGCAGCCACCTGGCTCCAGGCCCCTACATCTGCGGGGGCTTCAGATCCCCTAGACATGGGCAGCCTCTCCCAGTATTCAGGGAGATTCAAGCCCCAAAGCCTCCGTGTCCATGGGGCATGGAAGGGGGAGACTGCGAGATCCCCAGTGAAAAGGGGGATTTCTATAGGGACTTGTGATTGTCCCAGAGGCTCCTCAAAATCAAAGGGGACAGGGGGGTGCTGGGAGTTGGGCTGCTTGGAGCCATGAGCTGCAGGGGATGCATTTTCCAGGGACATGGACTTTGTGGCTGGGGCCGGGGGGGGGGGGGGGGGGGGGATTTCATCCGCTGTTGTCTGCAGAGGGCTCGGTTCTTGCCCAGAGTGGGGAACCCGGAGCCTGGACTCAGCAGCTGCTACTGCTCCAAGCTGTGGAGAAAACCCTCCTGAAATCTCCCTCTGTGCCCAGCCCCGATGGGATTTTCTCTGGTGGCTGGAACTAGCCCCCCTGGGCTCTGCTGAGATTTAACTCCTGTTCAGAGCCAAATCCACAAAGGTATTTAGGCACCTAACTCCCATGGGAGTTAGGTGCCTAGATGCACTTAAACATCTGGGCCTAGGTGCCTAAATCCCAGATTTAGACACTAGTGTGATCCAAAAACCCTATAGGCACCTAAAATCACTGGGTGTCTACATTTTCACTGTAAAAGCGTAGGGGTGCTGCCGCCCCCCCCCCGCTCCCGGCTTGAAGTGGATTAATTCCATTGTATACGGGATTTACTGTTTGTACAGCACCCCAACTGTACAAATTGTCCCAGCACCCCTGGGTAAAAGTGCTTGGGGCACCCAGGTTTCTGCGTATGGGCCGGTGGACGCCTTTCTCATGCCTGAGCCCCAGCGTGATTCTTTAAAAGCAAAACTCAGCTCAGCCTGATCTCTGAAATCACAACTGCTCCCTCCCAGCTATTTCCCTGTTTCCCACCCGGTGTCTGGTTTGTCTACGTAGAGAGGTGCGAGCTGTCTCTAGTGGTGTGTATCCACAGTGCTTCCCGCAATGGGCCTTGCTTGGGTGGCGTCTTTTCATGCTCCAGGAATAAAATCAACCACAAGACTCATCCTAATCCCATTTCAATGACTAGTCAGAGTCTAGAATGAATGGGGAGTTGGGGGGCGTGGATCAGCGTTCACGTCGCCGTACCCGAGCCGGGGAAGCTAATGATCCAACCAGCGGACCAAATTCGGGGATGAATCCTGGTCACGTGCCGCCTGAGGCAGGTTGCGCCCAGGCTAAGAAGAATGAGGACCAGGTCTAATATCAACACCCAGAGAGACCCACAAACATAGAAACTGAAGGCGCCGATCCTGTATACACTGACGCTGACCTGCTTCGCTTGACTGCTGCCAGTGACCCTGCGGATTTCAAAGTAAAATGTTCATGATGGTAGAGGCAGATGGGTGAGTAAATTTGTAGGGGCAGGAGCCCACCTCTGAGATTTGAGTCCCTTTCAGCCTGTTTGTCTTAATTTTATAATAGAAGGCCGTGCCCTTAGCCTGGGCTATCCCGATCGAATCTGGGCTTTTCTGGCCAATTGAACTAGCCCCCACTGGTAAACTATACGGCCAACGCCCAAGGCTACCGCAGGATCCTCAGTCTCTCTTGGTGGCACAGTCACTGTGCGAGGGGAGTAAGTGCTATATGGAGCGGAGGCGGGTTACACAAACTGAAGCAGTGGCCTATGGGGATCAGAGTAGCGGGGGGCGCCGCGTGATCCTTTTGTCGACCTTTGCCCTTCTGGGCTGGGCTCCGGCACCGCTCCTGAGCTCTCCCCAACTCACCCCTTGACGCTGAGCCTTTCTGGCACCAAGGGTCATCCGGACCCAGTGTTTTAGAACAGTGGTTTCCAAACTTTTTTTCTGGTGACCCAGTTGAAGAAAATTGTTGATGCCCGCCACCCAGTGGAGCTGGGGATGAGAGGTTTGGGGTGTGGGAGGGGCTCAGGGCTGGGGCAGAGGGTTGGGGCGTGGGCTTACCTCAGGCGGTTCCCGGTAAGCGGCGCAGCAGGGGTGCTAAGGCAGGCTTCCTGCCTGTCCTGGCACAGCGGACCGTGCTGCGCCCCGCAAGCGGCCAGCAGCAGGTCCGGCTCCTAGGCGGAAGCGCGCAAGTGGCTCTGCGCAGCTCTCGCCCGCAGGCACCGTCCCCCCAGCTCCCATTGGCCGGGAACTGGCCAATGGGAGTGCGGAGCCGGTGATCGGGTTGGGGGTAGCGCACGAAGCCCTGTGCCCCCCCGGCCTAGGAGCCGTACCTGCTGCTGGCCACTTCTGGGGTGCAGCGCGGTGTCAGAAAGGTATGGACTAGCCTGCCTTAGCTGGGCAGCGCTGCCAACGGGACTTTTAATGGCCCAGTCAGTGGTGCTGACCAGAGCTGCCGTGACCCAGTGCCTGACATGCTGCGACACAGTACTGGGTCACGACCCGCAGTTTGAAAACCACTGTTTTAGAAAGCCCAGTTCGCTGGTGACAGCTTCGAGAAAGACCTGGTTTTACAAAAATGTACGTTTCCTGTGCAGCATTGGGGTCGTTCTCGCAGGGACCTTTGCTCTCTGGGAGCTCAGAAGAACTGACAGAGCAGAACCATAAGGGAAGAAAGTTGGGGACCTTCCCCTCCAGTGACAGGTGGTAGGGTCCTGCAAAGAGAAGTGGCAACGTCTGTGATGCCTCCTACAAATAGCTCCCCTGTCCTCTTACCATTCCTCCCCATGGCTACTCCACCAGGCTTCAGAAACTGATTGACTCTCCTTCCGCAGAAGGCAGGTGACTGGGAAATGAAACCCAGAGGGGATTTCCCGATAGACAAGGGATTTTCCCCGCAGAAGCTAATCATGTTACAATATGTTAGGATTGGTTAGGTAAATTTTAGTAGAATGATTGGTTAAGGTATAGCTAAAAATATTACTATATAAATTAGGGGCAAACAGGAAGTAAATTGGGATTCAAAAATAAGGAAAAAGGAACTTGGATTGAAGCTTGCTGGAAGTTCACCCCAATAAACATCGAATTGTTTGCGCCTTCGGACTCCGGGTATTGTGGCTCTCTGTTCATGCGAGAAGGACCAGGGAAGTGTGAGAGTGAAGGAATAAGCCCTCTAACAATGTGGTTTACTTGCATCCAGTTGACCAAGTGATCCAGCTCGCTCTGGGTTAGTGACCCGTCCCTTTCATTATTTCCCACTCCCCTAATAGTTGTGTCATCGTAGGGCCATGAACCGATCCCGTCCGGACCACATTCTAGGCCCCGCTCTACCCTGCTCAGCATCACAACACCCTGACTTTCCTGGAACAACCATGGCATTCATAGAACCTGACTTAAGCATGATGAATGGGGAGAGAGAGGTGCCCAGGAAGGAGATCCATGCTCCAAGGGGAGCCGCCTAAGCTAGCCAATGGGAGGTGCTGATGAGAAGGGTGTGTCCTCAGTCCCTCCCCTCTGATAGAGACAAGGCCCTATCTCTGCTTGCGAGCCACACTCTGGATGTAACCCCTCTCCTGCAGACACCTGGCTTAGGCTTGTGAGATTGTGTTAGACACCTGTCTCTCTCCACACATAATGGCCTGCGGAGGAGGAGGTGGTGCGACCCACCTATTAGCTCAGTGGTAAGAGCACTTACCTGGGATGTGGGAGACCCCAGTTGGATTCCCTGCTCTGCCTGAGGGAGAGAGAGAGGATTTGAACAGGGTTCTCCCACAGGAGTGTGATCACCAACCTATGGGATATCCTGATAGGGGGCTTCTTTAGTCTCTCCTGTTGAAGCTGTTCTGCTGCACATGAGTAATGAAAGAGGCCCTGGAGCAGGGGGACCGGGTCTCGCAGGTCCCTGACCCATAGGCGCCAACTCCGTGGGTGCTCCAGCAAAATGAGTGGGTGCTAAGCACCCACCGGCAGCCAAGCTCCCGCCTCTCGCCTGCTGACAGCCCCGCTGACCAACTCCTCCCCCTCCCTCACTGCGCCTCCTGCCCGCCGTGGATCAGCTGTTCCGGGGCGTGCAGGAGGCACTTGGAGGGAGGGGGAGGAGCAGGGATGGGGCACTCTTGGGGGAGGGGGCAGGACAGGGGTGGGAAAAGATGGGGTGGAGGTTGGGCCTGGGGAAGGGATGAAGTGGGAGTGGGGGCCTGAGGGAAGGGGTGGAGTGGGGGCAGGGCCGGGGGCGGGGCCTGGGCGGGGGTTGAGCACCCCCCCACCAGGTAGAGAGGAAGTCGGCGCCTATGCCCTGACCAACAGGTTATGGATCATTCCCTCTCACTCTATCCATTCGTGTTTTAGGAAAGGTACTAAAACCCCCGCAACAAAACAACAACAACAACAACAGAGTTCTGCCCTTCAGCCCAACCCGCAGCAACAGGAGAATAGCAGGAGATGAGACAATCTGTCCCAGAGGGGGGAAGTAGATGAGTGTAAAACTCAGTTTGCTCTTGAACAGAGCAGTGTAACTGATATGCTCATGATTGGCTGCTGCTGGGTCCTCACCCCAGACACGGGCAGCTGGATACTTGGGGGCCAAACGCCCCTGATGTGTAAGGGAAATAGGAGATGTCTGGTCTCTTTTCTGTGCCCTGATAGAATTTCTCTCCTGCGTGCAGGAGTCTCTGATGTCCAGTATTGTAGTATTTTACATGCTAATGAGATCTAAGAGGTCTCTTCCCTGTGTGGATTTGCTGATGCCTCCGACAATCTGTGCCCCGAAAGATCCTTCCCCCACATTCAAGGTTTTTCTCCCCTGTGGAGTCTCTGATGTCGAGTATGGGTGGAGCTCTGACTGAAGCTTTTCCCACAGACCTGGCACGTATAAGGTTTTTCTCCTGTGTGGATTCTCCTATGTTTAATGAGGGTCGAGCTGTCGCTAAACCTTTTCCCACAGTCGGAGCACTTATAGGGTCTCTCTCCTGTGTGGGTTCTCTGATGTGAAAAAAGATCTGAGCTCTGACAGAATCTTTTCCCACAATCAAGGCATTTAAAAGGTCGTTCGCCTGTGTGGATTCTCTGATGCGTAATAAGGTTTGAGCTCCGACTGAAACTTTTCCCACAGTCCACACATTTATAAGGATTGTGTCCCGTGTGACTTCTCTGGTGTATAACCAGGTGTGAGCGCCAGTCGAAACTTTTCCCACAGTCCAGGCATTTATAGGGTCTCTCTCCCGTGTGGATTCTCTGATGCGTAATAAGATCTGAGTTCTGGTTGAAACTTTTCCCACACTCTGGGCATTGATAGGATTTATCTCCCGCGTGGGTTCTCTTGTGTCGCATAAGGTGCGAACTCCGATTGAATCTTTTCCCACAGTCAGAGCATTTATACGGTCTCTCTCCCGTATGGATTCGCTGGTGCGAAATAAAGTTGGAGCTCTGACTGAAGCTTTTCCAACAGATGAGGCATTTGTAAGGTTTCTCTCCTGAATGGATTCTCTGATGGATAATAAGCTGGGTTCTCCGATCAAAACTTTCCCCACAGTCAGGGCATTTGTAGGGTCTGTCTCCCGTGTGGCTTCTCTGGTGGGAAATAAGATCCGAGCTCTGAATGAAGCTTTTCCCGCACTCAACGCATTTATAGGGTTTCTCTCCCGTGTGCGTTCTCTCATGTCTGTTGAGTTGTGAGCTCTGAATGAAGCTTTTCTCACAGATGAGGCATTTATAGGGCTTCTCTCCTGTGTGGATTCTTCTGTGTGAAATAAGGTTTGAGCTCTGATTGAAGCTTTTCCCACAGACCAGGCATTTATAGGGTTTCTCGCCCGTGTGGATTCTTCTATGGGAAATAAGATGAGAGCGCCGACTGAAGCTTTTCCCACACTCGGTGCACATGTTTTTTTCTCTTTCCCGTGTTGCTTCTCCGCTGGGCTGTTGTTTCGCTGAGTTCCTTCCATCCTCTGCCACATGAAACCTACCTACTCCTTTCTCTGGCTGGTTTCCAAGCTGTCTCTCTGACCGGCACTGATTTCCACAGGCTTTCTCACATTCACAGCTCTGGTCAAAGTTCCCTTTGGATCTTCCCAGTAACGTCCCTTGCACTTCCCCTTGCTCAGGACCTTCCTGCAGTGAATTCTCCTCCTTGTTTTCACTCCCCACCCCATCGGCTGCTGGAATAAAGAGAGAGAATCCAGACAGGCGTCGTCCCCTGTGCTGGGGAGAAGGCAGAGACGGGGAACAGCAAAAAGGGGAAACACGACACAGTAACTGGTGGGGAGACTGAGAAAGGGAAAATTTTACTGGCCCATCTTTAATTTTTCCTTCTCCGAAGCGGGTCCCTGGTGCTCCGTGATCCCTTACAACTGGGTTGTCCCCTCATTGGACAGGCTCCAGCAGACTGGCAGTGCGGGCCACGCCACTCTGCTGACTCATGGAGGGAAAGCCGGGGAAAGAGTGTGAAAATGGGCAAGCGAGACCGTGAGGCTCAAACCCACCTCCGGCTATCAGGGACAGTGGCTGAATGTGCCGGGAGGAGGCGCAGCGGGAGAAGGACAGAGCCCATCCCTCCCCACCCCCCCCGCAGGTAATGGGGGGCGGGGAGCGTGTTGCAGCCCTGGGCTAGACTTAGGCAGAGGAGACACGTGTGGGGAGGCATGAGTTGTCTATGGCCATCAGGCTAACAAGGGGGGAGAAGACAATTTAATGATCAGGCCGGGGGACTGAATCCGCACCCAAGGGAGACTTCCTGGCTCTTGAGGTGGAGACAATGGACTTTGGGAAATATCGGGGGAGCAAAAAGACCTTTGAGGTGACCCTCCCTTAGGGGACAGAGTGAGCTTATGAAAAGTGGCTCCGACGCCATGGGTGCTGCGGGGCTCAAACATCCACTGGGAAAAAAAATAGTGGGTGCTCAGCACACACCAGCCACAGCTGCTGGGCGACTGGCGGGTGGGTGGAGAGCAGTGAGTGGCGGGAGGGCGGCCTTGGAAGAGGCTGCAGAGTGGGGGTGGGAAGAAGTAGAGTGAGCAGAACAGGGGCAGGAGGAAGCGGAGCAAGGCCTGGGGGGTGCTCTGGCTCTTTGGAGGCCGAGATGGTAATAATTTCTCTGAGTGCGCCGTGAGAGGGTCTGGAGGCAGCCGGGACACGGCTCTGGGGAACTCGGGAACTGGGCTGCACCAGTTGTTACCTGAAAGCCAAGGTTGAGACTGGCAGAGTCTCAAGGAGTTTGCTGGTGAAGCGGACAGACCGGTGCAGCAAGGAGCTGCCATACGCACCTCAATCACCAGCAAAGGTCACCCTTGCCCTGGCTGAGGGGTAACGCAGCGTCTTACCATTTGGGGTGTCCGGAGCAGAATGGCGCAGGCCCATTCCCCGGAAATTCAGTCAAACCAGAGAAGAACCTGAGCAGAAGCCGAAATGGGCACATCCCAGACCCCACAGCTTCTAATAAGCCAAGGGGACGGGAATCCCTTACCCAGCAAGGTCGCAGTCTCACAATTCTGCATGACGTCCCTGACCAGGGTCCAGCAGAGCCCCCTGCCCCTGGGTGAAATACACAGTCACCTCCTCAAAGGTCACCGGCATCTGAAACAACAAGAGTCCCCCACTCAGCACCTGCTGCCCCAGCCACAATCCCATGAATTGGGAGAGGGGGGAGAATAAAATGGAAGCCCTGGGGAGGGACAAAGCGGTGGAATCCCCCACATGATCCACCCTGCTCAGAGCAGCCAGGAAATTCCAGGTGTGGGGAGAAAGAAAGAGCTCCTTGTCCCTGCCCGGGGACAGAGGAGGGCTGGGTCCTTCCCATTTATCACACACCTACTAGCCAGAGGCTGATAAGGGAGGTGGAGACCTCGAGCAGGGTCCCGGGACAGGAACCCCAACATCCTCCCCATTCCCAGCAGCCAGATGTGAGGAGATGGGACATCTTCACTGGTGGTGTCCTCTTCATATTCCAGAGAAGCCTCTGCCTAGTACGTTCAGGCTCCAACCCTACGAGTGGGTTGTTTCTTTCCCAGCCCTGTCCATGGGTTAGTTCCTTTTCTAGAAATGGGGAAATTTCCACCTGCTCTGAGAATCGTGCCGCAGAATGAACGCACGTCCCAACAGAGCTGGCATATCGTTTACCCTATGTGTTTCCTACCCCTTCCCCATCTAGCACAAAGCCACCCAGCAAAGCCCCCTACCTGAGGCAGCTCCACCACAGCTGTTTCCTTTCCCCGCGCCCCGGGAGGACGTGGTGTAATAATTGGGATCTATCAGGCCTACCCCATTTGTGAGCTCAGTGGTTGGAACTGTGGTGAAAGTTCATAAAATGTTACAATCACCTATAACAATAAACACTGATCGGTAGGGCCCTACCAAATTCACAGCCATGAAAAACACGTCACGGACCATGAAATCTGGTCTCCCTCCGTGAAATCTGGTCTTTTGTGTGCTTTTGCCTTGTACTACACAGATTTCATGGGGGAGGCCAACACTTCTCAAATTGGGGCTCCTGACCCAAAAGGGAGTTGCAGGGGGGTTGAAAGGTTATTTGGAAGGGGGGGTCACAGTATTGCCACCCTTACTTCTGGACGGCAATACCATACCATGCCACCCTTACTTCTGTGCTGCTGCCTTCAGAGATGGGCAGCCAGAGAGTAGTGACTGCTGACTGCAGAAGTAAGGGTGGCAATATCATACCAGGCCATCCTTACTTCTGCGCTGCTGCTGGCGGTGGCTCTGCCTTCGGAGCTGGGCTCCCAACCAGCAGCCACCGCTCTCCAGCTGCCCGGCTCTGAAGGCAGCGCTGCCACCTGCAGCAGAGCAGAAGTAAGGGTAGCAGTACCGCAACCCCTCCTACAATAACCTTGCGACCCCCCCACCCTACACACACAACTCCTTTTTGGGTCAGGACCCCTACAATTACAACATTGTGAAATTTCAGATTGAAATAGCTGAAATCATGAAATTTACCATTTTTAAAATCGGATGATTGTGAAATTGACCAAAATGGATCGTGAATTTGGTAAGGCCCTACTGATGGACAAAGATTGGAAAGAGAGACAGAAAAAACGGGACTAATCCAAACAGAAAGTCTACAGATACCATCCAAGGGCTGTGTTAAGCTCTGACTGGCAAACAAGAGGAAAACGGAACTGGAAATGAGTGGATGAAAATTGGTGGGTCGGAATTTAGGACTGCTAAGTGAAGAAAATAACCAGGGGTGGGTCTATTCGGCTGATCACTCTTTGGGGTCCTTAAAGAGAGGGACCTTGAGGAACAAAAGGGCAGGTAGGTGGAACAGATTCCTGGGAGAGTCCCTGGGGAAAAGACCAAGAAAGATCTGTGTCTCCCTAGAACTATAATCATTGGGACATCCAGAACAACAGGCCGGGGAGAACGCCTGCCCATCACCCCTGCACCAGGGAGACCCCAGCCTGCTACACAGGAGTTCCTGCTCTGTTTCCCCTTCCCTCATGCCCCACCCCTGAGGCTGAGACCTGAGGCTCCTGGGGTGGTTGGTGCAGAGTCACTTTACCAGAGTTTACAGGAATTCTCTCTCCATCACCCGCAGGCTCCGGCTCAGGGGCTGGTGTTGGCAGAGCCGGGGGCTGGTTCCAGCCAGCGGAGAAAGTCCCCACCTGGGCTGGGCACAGAGGGGGCTTGGATGAATCTCTCTCCCTGCATAGAAACCCTGCAGCTGTTCAGTCCAGGCTCCCAGGTCACAATGGAGGCGGCAGTGGCTCCTGACCCAGGAAGATAAAGCCAGTGCAGCTCCACCTCTTAGCAAGAACCAGAGTCCTCTGGGTCCAGCAGCTAATGAACTGTGCTCCTGGCCCCTCTCCATCCCTCCCCCTCCCCACCACCAGGACCCTGGAGGGATGTGGCCCATTTCCTTCTCTATACTCCTTCCCTGAACTGCAGAAACCTGCAGAGCAAACCACACACTGTCACCGAGAAACGTGTGTCCCCCCCCTGCGGCTCAGGGCAGGCTCCCTGGGGCTAGGACCCCACGGTTCTCTTCAGATCTGGGGGGCTGGGACAATGTGCACAGGGGGGGAGAGCCATTGAACCAAACTGCCAACCCTGGATAGGATGGAAACCCCTCCAAGCCAGGGAGAGCTGCGGCGCGGTGGGTTTCTCGCTAGGACCCAGAAGGGAGCTGGGGCAGGGGCGATCGCTGGCTCCTGGCAGCAGGAAGCGAATTGCACTGGCTCCGGTAACCCTTTGTGGCTGGGTGAATTCCTGGCGCCCGGCATCGCCCCTGGCGAGACCCCAGACAGGCCCCCTGCTGCTGCGGGGGGGGGGGACCCGAATCCTGGCTGCAGCAGAGGTGACTATATTGGGGTGGCGGAGGGAGGTGATCGCTTTTATTGGAGCAAGAGACCAGCTTCCCACAGGGTGACCAGACAGCAAATGTGAAAAATCGGGACCGGGGATTGGGGTGGGGGGGGAGAAATAGGCACCTATATAAGAAAAAGACCCCAAAATCAGGACTGTCCCAATAAAATCGGGACATCTGGTCACCCTACCACAGCCACACAGAGCTCTTCTGCAGGGCTGGGGAAGGGTCACAATGCAAGGGGGGAAGGGCTTGGGTAGCATAAATGGTTAGCCCAGATTGTATTCAAGGTAGACTGGCCCATTAACACCTCTGCAGGCATAGGACAAAAAGGGTTAGTGGGTTATAGATTGTCATAAATCCAGTGTCTCTGTTCCGTCCAGGATTTGTAGTGGCTAGCAGAGTAATGAATTTAAGCTCCCAGGCTACATAAAAATGGCCGTACTGGGTCAGACCCAAGGTCCATCTAGCTCAGTGTCCTGTCTTCTGACAGTGGCCAATGCCAGGTGCCCCAGAAGGAATGAACAGAACAGGGAATCAGGTGATCCATCCCCTGTCGCCCATTCCCAGCTTCTGGCAAACAGGCTAGGGACACCATCCCGGCTCCTCTTTTGAAAGTGTCGGGCAGGTTTCCTTTGAGGATAAGGATGGCTAAGTGCGATATAGACTACACTGCATATTGAGAGCATTACATTCCCGCTGCTCCACGTGAGACTCTTTCCCTTCAGAGAGCCCAGCCTAGCCAGCACATCCCATATTGGGAAGACAGACCTTCCCCGCAATGCTCCCTTCCCTCCACACCCCCTCTCCCCAGATCCAGATCTTGTTTGGGGGGGGGGGGATTCAGGAGGAGAAATAGGCATATGGGTTCAGAGACACCATGATCAGGCCCCAGTGGGGTTTCCCCTTAGTCTCTCCGGGGATGGATTGTCAGGAAGGGAAGAGGTGTAAGCTCAGACAGAGATGGAGGGAAAATGGAAGAGGGGGGGTATCTGCTTGTGGGATGGTGGACATTTTTAATTCAAAAACCCATAATCCAATATATTATCTGCCCTCTTCCCCTCCCCCCACCCCCAGCAAAAAATAAGCAGGGGGTGTCCCCTTGAATTCCACAGAGAGGGGTAAATCTCCCCAGTTTTAACGTGCTGACAGGGAGGTGTTTGCGCCATCAGATACATCCAGTCTGAAAGGACTGAAGGAGGCAGGGTCCTGTGTTAATGAACAGTGCTGTGTGGGATCCTGTCTGTAGAGATTATATCCTAATGGACACACACATAATGGGGAAGAATTAACATTGCCTGGACACCCTTGATTCTGACCCTGTATTACTAGAAGTGCTACACTTTGCAACCTGAATAATACTAAGAACACAAGAGCGGCCCACTGAGTCAGACCAAAGGTCCATCTAGCCCAGTGTCCTGTCTTCTGACAGTGGCCAATGCCAGGTGCCCCAGAGGGAATGAACAGAATAGAGAATCATCAAGTGATTCATCTCCTGTCGCTCATTCCCAGCTTCTGGCAAACAGAAACTAGGGACACCATCCCTGCCCATCCTGGCTAATAGCCATTGATGGACCTATCCTCCATGAACTTATCTAGTTCTTTTTTGAACTCTCTTATAGTCTTGGCCTTCACAGCATCCTCTGGCAAGGAGTTCCACAGGTTGACTGTGTGTTGTATGAAGAAATACTGCTTTTGTTTATTTTAAACCTTCTGCCTGTTAATTTCATTTGGCGACTCCTAGTTCTTGGGTTATGAGAAGGAGTAAATAACACTTCCTTATTTACTTTCTCCACACCAGTCATGATTTTATAGACCTCAATCATATCCCCCCTTAGTCGTCTGTTTTCCAGCTTAAAAATTCTCAGTCTTATTAATCTCTCCTCATACGGAAGCTGTTCCACACCCCTAATCATTTTTGTTGTCCTTTTCTGAACCTTTTCCAATTCCAATATATCTTTTTTGAGATGGGGCGATGATTGCCTGTTCTGTTCATTCCCTCTGAAGCACCTGGCATTGGCTGCTGTCGGAAGACAGGATACTGGGCTAGATGGACCTTTGGTCTGATCTGTTATGGCCGTTCGTATTTGTTTCCCTAAATACCCAGATTTTAAGTCACTCCCCCCTTTGAAACTTCTGTTTGTTGGAGGGAATAAGTGAGTCTTTCCCACCACTGCCAATGGGACTAAAGCAACAGGCTGCTCCCAGCCAAGACTGTCTGAGATTCCCTACGTTCTGCACGG